AAATATTTTGTTTAGACCCAATTAAATAAGAACCTATTGAGGCTAGAATTTCAAAACATATTCTTATATTATCAAATAGTCGAAACGAAGTCATAAGTTACAATCAGTGTAGCCTTAAAATGGATATGGACTTGGTATAGTGCATATACAGTCATTTCTTTAGATCATTTGTGGATATTTTATATAAATCATATACCATACCTCCCCTAAAACGAGTCGCCTTTATCTTAAGAAAATAAAAACCTATTTAAGAACCTGTTTAGCCTAATTTCCTGGTAAGCACCATTTACATAATAACCTTTTTAGGCTAACCTCGAAAATCTAGATTCTCATATGCGGGGTTTTACTATAAATCATTTTGACAGTTCTGCTATTTTAAAGTTCCAGGCACCAAAAATCTTTTGTCCTTGAAATAATGTCGATTTCTAGGGAGATTCCGAGGTTGCGTTTTTTTATATACCCTGTATAATAGTCAGTGCAGGCATGAGCGTTTAATTGATTACCGACAAAGACTGGATTCGTGCCGTTGATAGGTTGTTGACAGACGTTGCAAAAGGCAAATTAGTTGTTTTCTTTGCATCTCGCTGGCACAGAGGCAATTCATTGTTTTTATTTGCTTATCGTTGAATGATGCTGAATGATGCTAAATGATGCTGAATGATGCTGAATGATGTTGAATGATGTTGAATGATGTTGAATGATACTGAATGATGCTAAATGATGCTGAATGATACTGAATGATGCGGAATGATGTTGAATGATGTTGAATGGTGCAGAATGATGTTGAATGATACTGAATGATACTGAATGATACTGAATGATACTGAATGATGCTGAATGATGCTGAATGATGCTGACTGATGCTGAATGATATTAAATGATGCTGAATGATGTTGAATGATGCTGAATGATGTTGAATGATACTGAATGCTGTTGAATGATGTTGAATGATACTGAATGATGCTATATGATGCTGAATGATGCTAAATGATGCTGAATGATGCGAAATGATGCGGAATGATGTTGAATGATGTTGAATGATGCTGAATGATACGGAATGACGCTAAATGATGCTGAATGATACCGAATGATGCTAAATGATGCTGAATGATGCTGAATGATACAGAATGATGCTAAATGATGTTGAATCATGCTAAATGATGGTGAATGATGCTAAATGATGTTGAATGATGTTGAATGATACTGAATGATGGTGAATGATGCTAAATGATGTTAAATTATGCGGAATGATGTTGAATGATTTTGAATGATGCTGAATGATGCTGAATGATGCTGAATGATGCTGAATGATGTTGAATGATGTTGAATGATGTTGAATGATGCTGAATGATACTGAATGATGCTGAATGATGCTGAATGATACTGAATGATGCTGAATGATACTGAATGATGTTGAATGATGGTGAATGATGCTAAATGATGCTGAATGATACTGAATGATGCTGAATGATACTGAATGATGCTGAATGATGCTGAATG